TGCTTTTCTCTTTGAAAGTCATCACATAACCGCATTGTAATACACGGTTCGGCTGCATTAAATATTGCACATCTGCCGTAGTTCTTTATTTATAGAGCCCTGATGAGAAGACTTCTGGACAAACAGGAAGAACTGCCGCCGAAACTGAATACGTGACGTGGATCATAAATATATCAACAATTAAACAACATCTTACATTTCCTTTCACAAAATACGTCTCCTTGCAGTATCAACACTAATTCGGCTGACTTTTATATTTGATCCAATTGGTAGATAGGTTATATTTACACCATAACGGTGCACAGCTGATATAAAGGGACTTGTAGTTTTTAAAGATATTACTGATTTTCTTTGAATATAAGAATGTAAATACTGAGTTGAGAGAATAGTCAGGGGATTTGGGTGATGGGAGACACATCTATGGAATCACAATTTCAATAGCTTACCATTAAATAACGGATATACCTTTCTGTCTTTGATGTTTTACAAATCAGATATTAATGTGAAGAAGTAAACATGAGAAATAATATAGCAATATCCTGTACAATTATGTAAAAACATGAATAAAACTACACATCTTCAGATGTTATACATACACAAGTGTCCTACACTAATAATACAAAGTTATTATTAGTATACTGTGTGTACCTTGTGTGCACCGCCTAGTGGTTAAAGCACGTTATTGAATTATTTTTGTTGAATAATATTATTTTTGTTGAATAATGTTATTTGATGAATAAAATATTAAGAGTACATACTTTCATAGGGGGAAAGTAGAAGGTCAATGATAGAAATGTAGAATATAAAAAATCAAGAAGATACTGTAAGTGATCTCTACAATAAAACAGTTTAGTGCCTGATGTACAAGGATATTAATATGAGGATGTGCAAAACAGACAAACTAATTAACCTTTATTAACACATTAAAGAACACTTTAGGTTTTCTTTCAAATAAGAAAAAAGCTTTGGGGGTATCTATCTACAGATAAATATTAAGCCTGACAAAGTACTTAACGTCTAATATATTGCTTTCCTGCAATGTTAACTGTGTTGAAGCACTTATTTTAACTGATATTATATATATATTAATTATACTCTTATGTATGTAGATAGTATAAGACATGTGCAGAATTTGAGTTTAATGGTGGAGGTACACACATATTGATAGATGTCTTGTAATGCACTGTTGAGGAACCTGTGACCCAAGTTTTTCATTAATTGCATAACTTCAACATAGTTGTGTATATGATATGTCAATAAACCTTAGAAAATCTTGAAAGGGATGTGCAAAATAGCTATTATATACAGTTTTTAATTAACTATTAGTAGAGAATAACGAGTAATGAATATACTTTATAGGGATCTGCAGATAAATGTTTAGTCTTCTCAAGCAGCAACTATCAAATATCTCTCCTGATTGTTGGCACTTGACAATCACCTTTCCCTGAATTTTACTCAGGTGTAACTAAAGTCTGCTTTAAGGGTTGTTTATATTTCACATCATTAATCAGAATCTGCAAAGTAACTAAAATAAATGTAGTGGAGTAAAAATACCAGGTTAACCTCTGAATTGTAGTGGAGTAGAATTCCAAAGTAACAATGAGCTGGCATGTGTTAATGCTTCCCATTATGGACACAAGCGATTTTCACCCATTTATTAATGACATGTTTTACATTTGTACACACCAATTTGTTTCCTATCGCCTAAACCTCCAGGGCTGTACACAGTTTAATACTGTCAACTTCTAATTTTGGGAAAAACAAAAACGTCTTTTAAAACTACAATTCCCAGTAGAGACGCCATAGAACATGTTGCGAAACACAATAGCCAGCATGTGTAGTTCTGGGGGGGCGTTCGAGTCCAGTTTTGGAAAGTCTGCCGTGGTTTCGTTCCATTTCAAAGAGCTGTTTGGCGCTCGGCGTAACCTTGGCGCACTGCCACTCCAACATCCAATCCCAGAGCTTGAAGATTAATCACGGGGTTTGTCAACGGGACTGTAGTCCCAAACGATAGCTGGGGATTGTGGGTAGTGTAGTGTCTTCGGCCATCCTAAACTCTGATTTTTTTTTCGGATTTCATATCGCATTAACACCATATCCCGACGTGCATTGCGGCTAAAACATCCAATCAGCGAGCTGAGGATCTTTCCTACGTCACTTTACAGCCCCGCCCACTTTTGGGGAAACCAGCTGTCATTTGAACGGCGATCAGCCTGAAGCCACAGAGCTCTTCTGTTGTATACTGTCCTTTCTTCTTAGAGGAAGTACAGAAACACGTAACTCTGGATTTGTTTTAATGTTTGAGGTGCAATAAACGACACAGCAGCTTTTTGGCATGTTAAAACTATTATTTTCTGCCTCGCAGCTGGCGAAATTACAGCCTCGCCTACTGATTTTAATTTAACCATAGGATATCAAGCCCGATCGTCGATTTCAAATGTGTGCTCTAAAATGATATTTATAAATGACTATTATCATTATTATAAGCAAGACAATAAAGGGCAAAGATATGTAGAACATAAACGTATTTGAGATAAGTTCATAACAAACGTAACGTGGGAGAAAATATGTTTCTAGAAGATATGTAGAAAATAAACGTATTTGAGATAAGTTCATAACCAACGTAATTGAGAATGCAGTTTAGTTCTGTGGGAACGTAATTTTTAGGAGACAGGGTTGATTTATACATACTTCATCCTCCTGTCACGAAGTTCAAGCACTTAGAGAGTTGGGCGGGGAGCAAATATTATGCTCGTCACAATCATGTAAATATGTATTTGAAGACAAAAACAAATGTTTGCTTCAGCATGCAGACTGTGCCAAGTAAAGCCATATTCCTCCAGTCTCTGTATTAATGCTAGCGCTGGGTGACCGCTGGGTGACCACACACACACACACACACACACACACACACACACACACACACACACACACACACACACACACACACACACCAAATTTCAACTGATTGACAGCTTATTTTTGGTCAATTTCTACCTTTATCTTCACCTAAATGCAATTTCTTGAATTCTGGCGATCTCAAAAGTATCATCAAATGATTGGGCATCCCTAATTTAGTTGGATATGACACCTTAAATGTTTTTCTACAATGTTTGGTTCCAAAATTAATCGTGTTTGAACATTTGACCCGAGAGACTGGCGGCCATCTTGGATTTGACCTCTCACGGTCCTCACAGGTCAAATCTGACTTCCCTCCACATCTGAAAATAAACCTTATGGTATGCTCTAACTATGTTAGAAATGTCATGCTTTTCTCATAAAATGCACAATTGTTGTGCTTATCCGCTGTACTATCTAAATTCTTGTGTTAATAAAGACATTTTTATTCAATTTTATGTTATTATTGGACATTCTTACGTCATGAAACATCCACTGCAACAAACGAGACTTTCAAAAAACAATACATTATTAAATTAGTTACTATGATCATCATTTTGAAACAAGGGGTAATTCACTCAAAATACATAATAAAACACAAGACACTCTGAGCCTTAAGAACAAAAAATAACTAATTTAAACCCATTATTATTTCAATTAATGATCATGAAAATTCAACTGTGTTACATTGAAAAAACACAAGTCAACTTCATGTCAATAACCTGCTTAGAAAGCTGAGGGTTAGGCTAGGTTTCTTTTTCAGAAACAAGTCCTGTTTCTCACTTGAAGCCAGGAAAAGGCTCTGTGACCTTTTGACCTGTGCTGGACTATGGTGATCTGATATATATGAATGCACCTGCCCATTACCTGATCAAGTTAGATGCCGCCTATCACAGCGCTCTGAGATATTTGTCACAAATTGTAAAGCACTCACACATCACTGTACCCTGTATGCCAAGGCAGGTCTGCCATCACTTACTGTACGGAGGCTCAGTCACTGGTACACGTTTATTTATAAAGCTTTGTTGGGAAAACTCCCGTATTATATCTGCTCTCTGATAACACAGAGAGTTGCAAGCAGCTATTGTCATTCAAAGTGAATGGGCAGAAGCGTTGAAGCTTCAACGCACACCGCCGTGTGGACGGGCCGTTACCCCTAGATTCCACCGGGTCAGTCTGCTCCGCGTTAGTCAATGGGTGATCGCGGCCACTCTAGTCAATGGGTGCTATTCCACCAGACGCGCCGTGTTACAGCTAGAAGCGTCCTAGAAGCGTCTCGGTGCTGGGCTCCGCTAAAAATAGGATGATGGTCTATTTTCGACGCGACCCGAGGCGTTGCATAGCGCCGGGCAGGAAGTGGACCGGTCAGAGCATCCATTCAATCCCCAAAACAAACTAATTTTGCAGACCCTATCCCTCCGTAGTCTTTCAAGTAGGAGGAGAAATGCCAGCGTTCTCCTCCGGTTTACAGGCAGCTATTGTCTGAGATCGCATGATGTAGTCTTGTTAGATGTGCCAAGAGCAAGGACTGTATAGGTAAGACAGCTTTTATGTGCGCAGCTCCACTTGCTTGGAACAATCTTCAGCTAAAATTGAAACTGAGCAAATGTATTCCTCTGAATGTTTTTAAAGCTAGGCTAAATGAAATGCTCATTGAAACTATGGGTATTTGTAAATGTTGATAAGTATGTAAATGTAGCTTGTAAATATAATGTATGATGTCCTTTATTGTTTCATGTTTCATGTGGAACCTAATTGCTGCAGGTCTGCCTTGAAAAAGAGATCTATGATCTCAAGGGACAATCTGGTTAAATAAAGGTTTGAAATGAAATGTGTTCTCTTCTTAATCTTATCTGCACAAAAATCTGTTTTTTTATTTATTCTTTTTTATTGCACACTCATAAACTTCCTATATTTATTTAGATATTTTCTTTTTTATTCACTTTTAATTTTAATTTGAAAATGAAGCAACCATCACAAAACCTAAACAGTAACACCCCAAATAACGTTTTCTGATTCAAACTTAAACTTTAAGCGTCCGTGTGGACGTACCGTTATTTTTACATCTGATGTTCTTCCCAAAAATGGCAGAATCCACTCAGTTGTGGTTGAAAATGCTTTAATTCACCCATAACACCCACACATGATCAAATACAGAGGATACAGAAGAATAAGGCTGTAGTGCTGAACCATGAAGCCATGCAGCATCGGTCTCTTTCTAACTCTGCTAATCAGCTTTGTTATCAAGTGTTGAGCTGAACACGTCTCTTCAGGGAAGATCATTTACAATCAATAACTGCTGGAATTCATCATCCAGGAAATGCATTAAGGCAACGTCAACGAACCCAAGCAATTCAACTCAAAGTCTTTCCCTAATCAAAGATCTATTTATTTATCAGTCAATCCATTTGATAAGCTACTCATTCCCCACGTTTTCAATGAAAGTAAACTCAGCATTCCCTCTGATGTGACCCTTATATTTAGAACCCTGTTTATAACCCTATACAAAACTCCCTTCTACCCATCCTAACAGAGAGGTGCAGGAATGAGTCGTGAAACCCTGTCATGAGTCAGCATTTCATCACTTCCTGTCCCCTGGTCTGGAGGTCAATGGTTTTCTGGGTTTGTTTTTGGTAGTTAGCCTGAAATAAGTTATGTGGTTTTAACACAAGCTGTAAGAGATGTTAACGCTTGTTCTACATCATAAAATATATCAGTAAATCCCCGACTGGTGAATAAAAAAAATGGCGGTTGCTAACAAGTGTCTAAATGAGACGACTAAACGTCATCACGCCCAACATTAGCCACCTTTAGCTTAGCGGTGGTGACGTGAAGTCATGTGACCGTGCTGTAAAAAATACGTCAGTTGAGCCCAATCATGGACATTTCTCGAGATGTTTCTTTGGAAAACTCTTTCCCTTTGTGTTTCTTTCTACATCCTTATCATAATCATTCTCTCTGCATGTCAGGTAGTTCCTTTATAGCCTAACGTTAGCTTTGAACTTCAGAAATCATAAAGAGATGTTTTCCTGCTGAACTAAACCTGTAAGTATCATAAACGTTTGTTTGCTATAATCCAAAATCTCATGGAGGAATCCCATTGGACCAGGGAGATGCTGCCTTCAGGGACCAGCACAGTAATACATCATCCCTGCACCTCTCTCTCTATATATATCTAACACCCCCCCCTCTCAGCTGCTGACCACCCGCCCCCCCCCAGGTCTCGTGCTTGCTTCCTGGGTTCAGGTGAGTGATGGCCACCTCCACCGCCTGGACCTTCTCGTGTTTGGGGGGGATGGAGCAGATTCTGTAGCTCACCTCGTCGCCCTCCACCGGCACGTATTCCCCCTCGATGCTGCAGAGGAGAAGGAGATTAGGAAGAGGGTCACCAGAAGGTTTTAAACAACAGGTGGAAACAAAATGTTTTTATTGGTAGAATAACTTTATTCTGAGATCATTTTTCAAGTAAGTGTTTTTATAAAAATGAACCTTGAGAAGTTCAGGGTCCATCACGTCCATCTCTATAATGCAGTATAAACATACCTTTAGCTTGTTATTGTCCCATTACAGCGCTGTATAATTACATGTAGGTGTTTAAGTGTGTATTTAAGTGTGTGTCTGTGTGTGTGTGTGTGTGTGTGTGCGTGTGTGTGTGTGTGTGTGTGTGTGTGTGTGTGTGTGTGTGTGTGTGTGTGTGTGTGTGTGTGTGTGTGTGTGTGTGTGTGTGTGTGTGTGTGTGTGCGCACTGCTGACGTGTTTTAGTTTTAGTCCTGTGGCTGCACAAAAGACAGTGTTGAAGGTCATTAGATATTCTGTCGTCCTCCTACACACTCCTGTAGCTACTGTCTGTCTTGTGTGTGTGTGGGGGGGGGGTTCCTGTACTCCCACACAGACCCTGACATTGTTTGAGGTCACTAATGATAACACACACACACACACATCATCAGAGATAATGAGGAAAAGTCCACACTCAACCTCAAGCTTCACACACTCACTCACTCACTCACTCACTCACTCACTCACTCACTCACTCACTCACTCACTCACTCACTCACTCACTCACTCACTCACTCACTCACTCACTCACTCACTCACTCACTCACTCACTCAGAGATGTGGACGAAGATGTCGTTCCCTCCATCAGACGGCGTGATGAAGCCGTGGCCTTTAGAGCGGGAAAAACATTTACAGAGGCCGGTGAAGGATGGACCATCTAAAGCTCGAGCTGTCCTGCAGAGAGAGAGAGGAAGAGGAAGAGTTAGAGAGGAAGAGTTAGTGAGGACGAGTTAGTGAGGACGAGTTAGTGAGGACGAGTTAGTCAGCAAAGTTTTATATGTAACCATGTGGCTGGAAAACAAATATCGTAGTATTTTGAGCATGTCGTGGATACATCGGGACACCAAAAACTTCTTGTTTACATATTTTCTTGGGATTTTATTACCTAAATAACTACATAATGAAACCGATTATACAGAAACACATTATTTGTCAGGTCGGTCCACAAGACAGCGAACACATGTTTTCCAAGCAGGCTGGTTCCTTTAGTTTGAATGTGTGTTTGGTGGCGTGATCATTATTATTTAGAGTCATTGCGTGCCTATTGATTTGAACACGATCCGTGTATCCATCATTTCCTGGTCTTCTCTAAAGAAGAGGGACCAATGAAAACGTTGTCATGTTGCCGTTGTTCAGCATGGAAACATTCATTAGCTAACAATGACATTATTGTTCTATTAATATAAAGGGAGGTCAGGTACTCTTTAAAACAGCTGCTAGTTATGGGTACTTTTTACTGAAGTACATTTCAAAGCCCTCTTTACTTTGACTTGAGTAAAGAAGTTTAGTCAGTACTTCTACTTTCACCAGAGTATTTTTAAACACGAGTATCTGTACTTCTACTTGAGTAAAGGATGTGTGTACTTTTGCCATCTTTGTGTGTGTGTGTGTGTGTGTGTGTGTGTGTGTGTGTATGGCCTAGCATTACTATACTTGTGGGGACCTAAATCTGTTTACACAGTCACGTGTGGGGACTCGCCTCCCTTATGGGGACATAATGGAGGTCCCCATAAGGGGAATCATTCATTTTAGGGCGAAGACTTGGTTAGGTTTAGGATAAGTCTCCAGGAAATGCATATAAGTCATTGTAATGTCCCCTGAAGTGATGTATACATGGTATGTATGTGTATGTATGTATGTATGTATGTATGTATGTATGTATGCATGCATGTATGTGTGTGTGTGTGTGTGTGTGTGTGTGTGTGTGTGTGTGTGTGTGTGCTCACGCTGAGCAGGTCCTGTTCCTGCGGGTGGGCAGAGGGCTGGGGATGAGGTATCCTCTCATGGGGGAGGGGGAGCGATCTCTCTGTCTGTAGGCGGGGGGATGAAGAGACTCTGAGGGGAAGAAATACAACGTTACACCAAATCACATGGAGGAATCCCATTGGACCACGAGATGCTGCCTTCAGGGACCAACACAGAAATACATCATGCAACACTTACCTGGTGACCCCGGAGAGCATGGTGACCCTGGAGAAGGCAGCGGGGGGGGTCATAGGTCGGGGCACCTGGAGGGGCGTGGCCTGAGATGACATCACGGAAGAGGCGGAGTCAAACGGCGGGTAGGAAGGAGGAGGTGGGGGGGGTCACTCAACAGGAAGCAGGAAGGAGTTTAACCCCTGAGGAGAGAGGGGGTAGAAATACTCAGTTGGTGCTGAATTCAACAATATTGGCATCAAAATATACTTAAAGGAACATTGCCCAATTATATGTCATTTAAAGCGCTTTGAGCACATGGAGACGCGCTAAAATAAATACCATTAATTATTATTATTTAGATATTTCAGAGAGTTTTAGCCGCTGATGGCTGTGTTTGAGGAGGAAGGACTTTCAAAGCACAGAGTGAACCATTTTAACTCAATAGAGAAAACCTTAATGTAATCACAGCCTGCATGCTTCCTGCTGGAACACACACACACACACACACACACACACACACACACACACACACACACACACACACACACACACACACACACACACACACACACACACACACACACACACACACACACACACACACACACACACACACACACACACACACACACACACACACACACACACACACACACACACACACACCACACACACACACACACACACACACACACACACACACCACACACACACACACACACACACACACACTCAATAATGTCTTAACGAGCACAAGCCCCTCCAGGAATCACCTCAAAACACTGCAGATTATTGATTTAACAGAAACACAGATCATTAGCACAGATGTAGAGGGAATGAGAGCTTTAACAACAACAACAACAACAACAACAACACGGAGGAGGAAGAGAAACAGTAAAGATAAGGAGGATATCAATCTGCAGAGAGGAGGACACATTGAGCCTGGGAAGCATTTCTCTCGACTGCTGCTCTAAAAAGGAACATAATGACATGTTTTAGCTGCCGTGCACAAATACTATGATGTTATATTCCTGCTGATGTTTCCCCGTGCATACTGTGGTTTTTAGATGTTCTGCCTCAGATGAATCCGTTTGATTCAGTTATCCACAAATCGTATGAAAGTCTAATTGAAACTCGCCTGACGACGGGTATCTAGAACGGTGTGAAAAGTATTTGAGTGAACGTTGTTAAAGCCATGGATGTGAACTTACTCTCCTACTTTGTTCTAGTGTAACTAATGTGTGCTGCTCTTGTAGATGTTAACATGTTAGCTTCTTCTGTGTTCATTTATCTGCTGACACTTTTGCTGTAACAAATGAAGCAGTCCCCGCTGTGGGACTGCATTGAAAATGTTACTTAAAGGGGACCTATCATGCAAAATGCACTTTTGTACGTCTTTTCTACATGAATATGTGTCCCCGGTGTTCCAGGGAACTCACCAAGTGTCAGAAAACACAACCCTCTCTATTTTCCTCCATACCCAAATCTCTAAAAAGGGGCTGCAACGGATCTGATAAAACTGATCCAGATTTGAACACTGTCCTGACGTCAGGACGGTGGCGCTACGGCTATTGGGCCAACTCCACCAATCAGGAGGAGACAGCCACGGCATTGCCGTTTGAAAGCGCTGGAGACGCTGTAGTACATATGCCAGGCCTGTAGGTGGTGCTGTTCTCACTGAATCAACCCTTGCTAAACAGAGCTAAAAAATGTCAAATTGAGCAAAATGAGGCATGGCTAAAATGCATGATCTGTTTGGTATTTTGAAAAAAAAAAAGTATAAATATGCCTTATATAGGTATGGTCCTACACTATATTATTATTATATAGCATGATAGGTCCAATTAAGTCAAGTAAGTATAGTTAGAAAAATGTAGTTTAAAGGATTAAAAAAATTGTTTAAAAAACTACCCAATGCAGAAAAATCATAAAATAAAAAACCACCTAGAGAAGAGAACCTCAAAATGATTCAAAATAAGGAGGGAAAGAACTCCTCTCTAGGACAGCGTAATGAATCAGAGAATCACAGGAAACTAAGCTGATAGAATCATCCACATTAGAGACGCGGACATTCAAATCAAGACATGAACCAGATTTGTACCGTCACTTTCAAGGAGACGTTACACACAGAGATATGCAGCAAAGGGACCGGGTTAAGGCAGCAGCTTGAGGAGGAAAAGTGTAAAGTGATAAACATTTGAATAAACATTCAGGATGGGCCTGAGAAACGCTGAGTCCTCATAGGTGTTAAACAGGAAGAGGTAAAAGAGCAGGAGAGATAACGGAGAGATGGTCCCACACACACACACACACACACAACACACACCACACACACACACACACACACACACACACACACACACACACACACACCACACACACACACACACACACACACACACACACACACACACACACACACACACACACACACACACACACACACACACACACACACACACACACACACACACACACACACACACACACACACACACACACACACACACACACACACACACACACACACACACACACACACACACACACTAATGTGTTTAGGGAACTCAACCCACAGCCTCTCTGTTGACGTACGAGCTGCTCTCTGATTTTCCTCCAGGGGAAAATATAAGTTAAATTAAATAAAGTCTGTCTCTGCAAAGCGTTCTGAAACCTCCAGCCTGAGCTACGTGAGATTTATGGGATTAAAATGTCCTTTAAACGGATTATTCTGACCCCTCGATTCCACCGCGTCACGGCTGTGCCGCGGTTTTGGTCCGGCCTCCTCCGGCGTCATACCCTACCGGGCGCGTTTCAGGCGCGTTTCAGGAGCATTTCAGAAGCATTTCAGAAGCGGAGCGTCTTGCCTGCCGGCTCGCAGTTTTAGTTGATTTGGGCATATTTCCTGGACAGGCTACTTTGTACAGACAAAGTTAATAATAACTGTAATATTCCAGTTATAAACGACATGAATCAAAGATGTGTTTCTGTATTTTAGTGGTAAAAAAATGCATTCATCATCATAATTATTCTATATATATAATTTACACAGTGCCTGTAAACCGGAGGAGAACGCTGGCATTTCTCCTCCTACTTGAAAGACTACGGAGGGATAGGGTCTGCAAAATTAGTTTATTTTGGGGATGCGCCGGATGCTCTGACTGTTCCACTTCCTGCCCGGCGCCTCTGCAACGCCTCGCGTCGCGTCGAAAATAGACTTGCATCCTATTTTGGGATGCAAGTCCCAAGCGCCGAGACGCTTCTGAGCCGTAACGCGGCGCGTCTGGTGGAATAGCACCCATTGACTAGAGTGGCCACGATCTTTGCGAACGCCGCAGCGCAGCCGTAACGTGGCCGTAACGCGACGCAGACGGACCCGGTGGAATCTAGGGGTGAGGGTAACTTCAATTAGAAACAGGTTTTGATATTGCAGGACAGTAAATATGTGTGTTTTTATATAAGTGCACATGTGTTTGAATAAATGTACCTTTATTGTAAACTATCAAGCTGCCCTGAGTTAAACATCCACAAAAAACATTAATTTGTGTTTAAAATGTTTTTTATTATTTTCACAATTATTTGTCATATTTCTTTCACTTGAATTGCCTTAATGATTAAAGCATACAATAAGGCATGTTACTTCTGTATTTTATTTACAAATATATATGTAAAATTAGTTTGATTATCAAAATCAGATCGATGAAAGAATTAAAACCATATGTGTTTTGGTGTATACAATCAGCTGTTTACTTTGGTATAACTACAAATAAATGCCCCACACACACACACACACACACACACACACGTACTGGTGTCCAGTGGAATTTTCCACGATAAAGCTCTCCAATCACCAAACAACTCAAAGACCCTGCTGATACAGCACATACCAGAAGCACACAACCCACACACCCACACACACACACACACCCACACACACACACACACACACACCCACACACACACACACACACACACCCACACACACACACAAATAAACTGTGTGACCTTGAGCCACATTATTTCCCCGCGCCTACATATAAGAGTAGGAAATGGGAAAAGATAAATGTAAGAGCTTCAGAGGTCTGAGAAGATTAATAACACTTTGAAATATATTCACTGTTTAATTTGTATTTGTGTGAGTTAGCATCATCAGAGTGACCAAAGTCTCTTCACAGGCGGGATCAAACACTCAATGCATTCAGTGTTTCATTCTGGCACTTTCTGCAGGATCATTTAATCTCTAGCTGTATTCAAAAGAGAAACATTTGTAAAGAGATGGTCCTTGACATTTCTGTATCAGTTCGTGTTGCACATTTATGTTCCAGTAAACGTACTGCAAGTTCTGTCCTGAACTCTGATGTTCTGCTGCAGGACTTCTGTTGCAGGAAACAGTTATAATTGACCTATAACTTATCATTTTCATTTTCAGAAGCATCTAAGCTATGTGAAGATAAGAAAACACAAGATAAGATACCCTGGTTCCCTCCACAAAAAGCCAATGGGATTCCTCCATGTGATTTTGGATTATGTCAGAAAATAATCTCTGTGTCAATAAAACGTTTATGATATTTACACGTTTAGTTCAGCCGGATAATCTCATCATATTAACACCACTATGATTTCTGAAGTAAAAACCTAATGTTGGGCCTATAAAGGAACTACAGCACGGTCACATGACTTCACGTCACCACCGCTAAGCTAAAGGTGGCTAATGTTGGGCTATAAAGGAACTACAGCACGGTCACATGACTTCACGTCACCACCGCTAAGCTAAAGGTGGCTAATGTTGGGCTATAAAGGAACTACAGCACGGTCACATGACTTCACGTCACCACCGCTAAGCTAAAGGAGGCTAATTGGGCTATAAAGGAACTACAGCACGGTCATATGACTTCACGTCACCACCGCTAAGCTAAAGGCGGCTAATGTTGGGCTATAAAGGAACTACAGCACGGTCACATGACTTCACGTCACCACCGCTAAGCTAAAGGAGGCTAATTGGGCTATAAAGGAACTACAGCACGGTCATATGACTTCACGTCACCACAGCTAAGCTAAAGTGGCTAATGTTGGGCTATAAAGGAACTACAGCACGGTCACATGACTTCACGTCACCACCGCTCAGCTAAAGGCGGCTAATGTTGGGCTATAAAGGAACTACAGCACGGTCACATGACTTCACGTCACCACCGCTAA